GCCTTCTTTAAAATTCAATGCATATGTAAAGAAATATACGGTAACCCGAATTTACCACACTCGCAAAATCGCACACAGCCAACCATACACCCAGTATGGTATCGCGATTCGTGATTTTGCGCTATCATACTGGGTGTATGGTCGGCTGTGTGCGATTTTGCGAGTGTGGTAAAATCGCATAACAGCAAAATCGCATAACAGCCGAGCATACACCCAGCAGCGCTGCTGATGCCTGAACGGTATGTGGAATGAAGTGGGCGGGCATCGGGAGGCCACTATGGCACGGGGCAAGCACTATGGGCAGTCTATCTGAAGTGTACCCGGCGTATAAGACGACCCCCCACTTGGAGGCATATTTTTCAGGGCCAAAAAATCGCCTTATACGCCGGCAAATACGGTATCCTAACATTTCTTTTGTGTGTATTGATGATAAATACCTGTGTCTTAAAATTGAATGTCTATGTTATATGTTAATATTTTATTCATCCTTTAAAGGAAAACGGTGTCTGTATTTTTTTTTTATTATCTGTGAAACTAGGAACTTGTTTTGTGTTTATGTGTGAGTAGCTTTATTCATTATTAATATTTTTCATTGGAAAGGTATTTAGACTTAACACCAGTTATTTTTATATATTTTTTATTGCTTTCCTCTTTTCTTTTTAAGAGGAAGGGAGAGGGATAGAGAGATAGAAACATCAATGAGAGAGACATCATTGATCGGCTCCCCCTTGCATGCCTCCCACAGGGATCAAGCCTGCAACCTGGGCATAGGCCCTGACTGGGAATTGAACCGATGGCCTCTTGGTTCCTGGTTCGATGCTCTACTGCTGAGCTACACTGACCAGGTGGCACGAGTTATTAATGTCACTAAATGATGGGCTCATTTTTTTGTGTTGATTTGCTTATATCTTTGCTCTCGTGTTGACTGTGGGTTAAGAAAATTTCAAATTTGATCACCCATGTTTTATTTAAATCATATATATCTTCATGTTCCTATTAGACTCACCCTCTCTTAATAGCTAAAAATGTTATTGAAATAGAAACCCATATAGAAATTAACAATTTTGCGGGGGTGGAGGGCTTAAATATGTTGTACTTTGGGGTTTTTTTAAATCTAGGTTATGTTCTCTTGAATCTTAAGTTTACATTTGTGTCTAGTATATTAAACTAATGAGGCTCTCAGTAGTACTGAACATGTTTGTGTGGTTTGATTCTTTTCCACAGGCTGCAACAAAGAAACAAAAATATGAAAAAATTAGTGAAAAGAAGATGTCCACTCCTGTGGAAGTTTTGTGTAAGGTAGGTGTACATGCTTGATTTTGTTTTTAATATAAATGATCCACGAACAAAAAGGAACACTTTTCTTGCCATCTCTGGAATTTAAACATTGTTTTAGGAGCTAGCCATTTGCCATTAAGTGTGTGTTTTACTGTTTCTGGTTTCTTTGAGCTCTGTCATCTGTTAAAAATTATAGGGAAAATAAGAGAGCAGGCAAACTTTTCTGATGGAACCTCACTAATTTATGAGAAATACTACATTTTAAAATATTCTAAATAAAAAAAGGACATTGACAATTGGTACAAAAGGAGTAGGGAAACAAAGGCTAGCAGATCAGAACAACATAAAATAGTACATGTGTGACAATACACATGACTGAATCAGGCTTGTTTCTCTGAAATCTCAAACTTTGTAGAGAAGCATGTGAGTTTAGAATGGAAAGATGTTCTGTGGGAAACCATGTTAGCCATGGTTTCCCATAGAAAGATGACCACATGATTGTCTTTTAGACTGTTGAATACCTGCTGAAATAATGAGAAAATAGTATGTAATTACATAATTGGGTGATAGAAAGTAGAAATCAGCATTAGTTGAAATAGTACTCTGGAGGGGATAATCGGTGATATCTTTATGTGTCTCCCCATTCACAAATTTGTTTTCCCCTTTTATACATATCCTATATAGTAAAAGGGTAATATGCAAATCGACCGAAAGGCGGAATGACCGGTCGCTATGACACAACACTGACCACCAGGGAGCAGACACTCAACGCAGGAGCTGCCCCTTCATGGTCAGTGCGCTCCCACAGTTGGAGCGCTGCTCAGCCACAAGCCAGCTGATTGCTGATGGCTGGCGAGCACAGCGGCCCGCCTCTGCAGCAACACGAGGGCTCCCAGACGGGCTGAGGGACACACACACACACAGTGCACGAATGTCATGGCTGGTGGAGTGGGAGACTGATCTTTTCTGAGACACCTTGGGATTCATTGTTTCAAATCATGAAATTTATTTTTGTTTGTTTGTTTTACTGACCTCTGGCTGTGTAGGACTGGCCAGGGCTGTGTCCCATCCAGCCAGGTCCTCCCCAGACAGCAAACCAGCATCTCTCCCTTTGCCTCACCTTTAATCGTACAGTCTTATGTCTCATTCCTTTGCTCTCCACTTTCAAAGAGGCATCTGACATTGTGCCCAAAGGAGTAATTTTTGTCCAAGGACTAAGAATTTGGCAGATGGAAGAGGGAGGGCATGCAAAGTTGCCCCTCAAATTTTTTAATTTTATTTTATTGATTTTTTTTACAGAGAAGAAGGGAGAGGGATAGAGTTAGAAACATCGATTAGCTGCCTCCTGCACGCCCCCCAGTGGGGATGTGCCCGCAACTAAGGTACATGTCCTTGACCGGAATCGAACCTGGGACCTTTCAGTCCGCAGGCTGACGGTCTACATCCACTGAACCAAACCAGTTAGGGCAATTATGAAATATATTTTAGGTTAATAAGTAAAATGTTATGTTCTAATTCACCCAGATAACTTTAAAACCTATATGCTTCAAGAGCAAAACATATTTTCTATAGACTACATTTCCATGGAACAGAAAGTTTCATTTGTCTCATTAGAAAAGTCAGCCATTTTTCCAAAAGAGAAAGGATTATAACAGTCTCTACATGTGGACTACATCTTAATTTTGATGTAGAAATTGTGGGCTATGACTGTCTTTTGGATTAGCCACATAAAATTGGTTCAGTGTGTAGTAAATACAGAAGTATTAGGTATTACTATAAAATAGTGAGAATGTTTTAAATCTGGTTAAGAGTTTAAAAACAGCCCTAACTGGTTTGGCTCAGTGGATAGAGCGTCAGCCTGCGGACTGAAGGGTCCCAGGTTTGATTCTGGTCAAGGGCATGTACCTTGGTTGCGGGGACATCCCCAGTAGGGGGTGTGCAGGAGGCAGCTGATCAATGTTTCTCTCTCATCGATGTTTCTAACTCTCTATCCCTCTCCCTTCCTCTCGATAAAAAAACAATAAAATATATATTTTTAAAAAAAAAAGTTTAAAAACAAAGATGTATAATATATTCATGACTTTATTTTCAGATTTTCACCCTAGAAAATAAAATAGCATAAGAGTACTTTATAAAACTTAAAACTTTATATCAGTACAATTATTAAAAATAAATGTTGCAAATAAATCCATTCTATCCTCCCTTGTTCTAGATGTGAGAAATTCATTGAAATCATAAGGTTGTGCAAAGAGACTTTTAACTTACCTCCCTTCACTTTCACATTTACTGAAGGAGAGGAGTTATAGGGATTTTTGTTATTTTAATGCTTTGCACATTTATATTCTTGGTGGCAAAATACTTTTGATGACTAGTATCTACAGCCTTAAATGTTTATAAACATCTTTGAGAATCTTCCTTAGGATTGAACATGGAAAAAGTTTATGCCCACAGATGTGATTATTAGTATTGTTTATTAAAAAAAAGTTTGGCTCCCCTAAATGTCTAGTTAAAGGGTACAAGTTAATTATGATGTATTCATAAGGTCTACTGTTATACAGCCAACACAGAGGTTTATGAAGCAGTTGGAAATAACAAAAGGGTGCTTGCAATATAATGTTAATGGGAAAAAAATATTTCTCTACCAGTATTAAATGAGAAAGTAATAATAAGGTGGTCAAGATAGTGAACTTTTGTTAATTTTATGAGGATACCAAATCAGTTATTTTACTTTCAGATCATCCAATAAAGTAGTAAACCCTCTCCTCAAATACATATTTTGCTTGTATTCAGATGCATTGATTTTTCTATCTTGAAATAAGTTGTTTGTTTTTTTTGTTTGTTTTTGTTTTTTTCTTTTTATATTTTTATTGATTTCAGAGAGGAAGGGAGAAGGATAGAAAGAAATAGAAACATCAATGATGAGAAAGAATCATTTACTGGTTGCCTCCTGCAGCCCCCCACTGGGGATTGAGCCCACAGCCCTGGTATGTGCCCCTGATCAGAATCGAACCTGGGCCCTTCAGTCCCACAATCTAAAAATTATCCACCAAGGAGGAAGGTATTCCTTGAACTGTATAGCTCAGTTGTTTGTTTTTAACTTTGTCTTTTACTCTTGAACTTACAGGGGTTTCCTGCAGAATTTGCCATGTACTTAAACTATTGTCGTGGGCTGCGCTTTGAGGAAGCCCCAGATTACATGTATCTGAGGCAGCTATTCCGCATTCTTTTCAGGTCAGTTCTTAAAGTGTTTAAGACTCTAAAGTCCAGTGAAGGGGGATTAGTTAAATTTACTCAACATATCTATTCTGACAAGTGGAAAATTAAAGTGGGCCCAACCAACATGAGTAAAATTTTAAGAAATTGATTTTGTTTGGCTTTTTACCACTTGTAGTATTAATGTACTTGAAATTATTTTAGTTTGGGATGGATAAACAGTTGAATCAAGCTCAAAGTAGAATCAAACTTTTCCACAACAATTGCATTTTACATTACATCTAAGTGACATTGGTGGCCCATGGAAGTCTCCAACTTTGGTACAGGACCTTATTCAATACCAAAATGAAAAGCAATTAAAATATCAGTCACAGAGTGTTCGATAGCGTGGAGGCAGGCCAAATCTAGGATTCCCTTGGTACAACCCAGAATTGGTCTTGAAGAGGGGAGGGGAGAGATAAAGTGCACGGGGTTGGATTTCATAAGAATTGGAGGTAATCCTCTAACCCCTGAAAAGTCTTCCCAAGCCACTAGCATACAACTCTTACAAACTTAGAGTCCCAT